AGCTTGGGACGTTTATTTTGATTCACTTTTTATCTGAATCAAAATTAAAATAAGTCAGTTTTTTTAGCGATAATCGCTGTTTCACATTAAGAAAAAAATAATTTCGACTGTTTATTTAGACTTTATGATGTCACTTTTTAATATTACAACTGTAGCTACTCCAATCCTTTCATGGATATATTTGTTTCCAATTGTAAAAGTCAATCATAGAGCTACTCCAACCCTTTCATGGATATATTTGTTTCATATTTTGTTTCCAATTGTAAAGTCAATCATAAAACTAATTATTCTCATCATCACAGTCTCTTACCCGATTAACTATACACCACGAAATATGTTTTTAGAAGGAAATATTTCGTATCATGTAAGAGTTGTCACTGCTTCCTCCAATACGAAATCTAATTTCTATTTCCAAACTGAAAATTCACTTCGAAATCTAATTTATCAGTTCCAAAATGGAAATTTACTTCAAAATCTAATTTTCATTGTTGTAATTCCTATTTTTGCAAGACAACTTACATTTCGAAGTGAATTTCCATTTTGGAACTAACAACTTAGATTTCAAAGTGAATTTTCACTTTGGGAATGAAAATTAGAATTGAAGGATGCATTGAAAACTCTTATTTCATATGAAATATTTCTTTCTAAAAACATATTTCGAGATGTGCAATTAATTACGTATGGGGTTTGTGGAGACGAGAATACTTAGATTAATGATTAGCATTCCAATTGGAAAATAAAATGTGAAAGATATAAACTCTAGCAAGGTTTGGTGTAGCTATGGTGACATAGAATATAGATTAAAAAATTCAGAAAAATATAAGAAAGATTATAGATCACCCATTGTTATAACTGTACGATTTATGCCAAATTATAAAATTAAATTCTATGTACTCATTTGAATGCACTTTATAATGTGTTGATTGTTTTCAAGGTAAATATTTATATACATACATTAAGATTATGGATGTATAACAAACATTATCCAAATAAAAAAGGGATCACCGATGAGTTCTTGAACAGTGTAGAGGCCTTCGTGGATGAAGCATCACAAATTCCATCTTACCTTTACGAGGGTATATTTTGACGTCCATTCTCAAAACACAGGAATCGAGTACACTTAATGTCTGAAGAAGTAAGATATGATTTATATCATCGGAGTTTTCAGCCTAATTCTTGGATTTGGACTTCGTATGGGGAGATTGACCCTGCAATATTCAACTCAGTATCTTTGACGAGCTATGATCCTCTCCCTAGATTTCAATCAAGTAGGTTTGAAGAGATAATTTTTGATGTGACAACACTATATTACCCGAATCAAGTGCATGAAGAGACACCAAATCGGGAGGCTCAAAATTTTTATGATTTACTAAATGCTGCTCAACGACCACTAAGGGAGTGATGCACTTCTCATTCTGAGTTATTTATAGCACTTAAAGTGCTAAAAATTAAAACATAGTATAATATGTGTCGAGAATGCTTCAACCAGTTTGTAATATTGCTGAAATAGTCCACAAGAAAATTTAGTTCCAAAATACTTATACTGGCCAAAAATTGATCTCCAAACTTGGGTTGAAAACAAAGAAGATTGATTGTTGCGTGAACGGTTGCATGTTATTTTATAAGTCCGGTGCAACAGAGACTCATTGCAAATTCTGTACTTCTCTGAGATTTAAACCTCAAAATAAAAAAAAATAATGTCATGAACAACCTCCTTACAAGCATATCTTCTATCTACCGCTTATTCCACGTCTTTAGAGGCTATTGCTTCCTCGCGTACTGCTTCATTAGAGCGCTCCCACATAAGTCTCTTCATTGAAAAGAATTTTCTTATAAGCCTCTCTACCTTGCGTTAAGAGGGAGCAGAAAAAGCCGAATCTCCGCTCTGACTCCAGTGGCATGGGTGCCTCGAAGCACACCGGTGGAGCGCTCTCACATACGGAGTACAAGAGGAGGAAAGCCGAATCTCCGCTCTGACTCCAGTGGCATGGGGGCCTCGAAGCACACCGGTGGAGCACTCTCACATACGGAGTACAAGAGGAGGCTATTAAGATTTTTTTTTTTTTTGCATTAAATCTTATTTTACATTAAATGTTTGCTAACTTATAGACACTGAAGAAGGGACATGATCCAACTACTGCAGAGTTACACGAGTGCATCCATATGTGGTAGTTGGATCAGTCCTAAGTGGACAACAAATAGCAAGTGACTAGATAATTCACAATATTAATGAGTATAAAATTCAAATAATTATCAAAAATTTATTTAGTCTCTCACTTTCGTTAATTAATTTTTTTTATAATAGGCCTTCTAGAGGCTTAAGGAGAGCAATCTAAATAGTCGGGCTATGGTTCGGGCATAGCTCGCGATCCTTCTGAGTACAACCTCTGGTGGGAAGCTGTTAGTGTGAAGAAGAAGCAGGGGCCAACGGGTTGGAGTCCCAAGCGCCGACCTGTGATGCCTGCCTGGCCTCTAGCACTTCCACTTCACAAGAGGAGGAGATGTGTCGCCAGGTTGTTGCGGGGGTACTGCCCAGGTAGCCACCTTGAGATCAGAGATTAGGGCAGAGATCAAAGCGGTGCTCCATTTTGAACTGCAGAAAGGGAATGTGTCAATGCATGATGATGGTGAGGATGATGGTGAAGAGAAGAGGACACAGGAGGATGAGAAAAATGAGTAGGGGTTATTATTTTTTGTTTGTATGTGTATTAAATAATTTATTATTAGCGAATATTATTTTTCTTATGCAGTTGTACATTTATTTTGATTTTATTCAATTTTTTTCTTTTATTTCTGTATTTGATTTATGCGATAGTTAGTTTTGTTACAGTATTTTGCTGTGTTTTCATTGCACTGTTATGATTGTAGGTGTTTAGATTGTAACGTTAAAAAAAAACTTAAATTTTTTTTTTCTATCGTATATGTTTCGACAGTTTTATGACCCCTAGATTATTTGCCGACGGTTTTTCGAGGGCCTTTCAAACAAGCGATGTCCGAACAAAATGCTACACTTTTGTTACGAACAAAACTGTCAGTAAATTCCCACGGTTAATCGACAGTTGGAGGACATTTTACTGACGAAACTACGACACTTTTTCAACGGCAGTGCAACACTTTTTTTTTGATACGTGCATTGCTTATATAACTTACAATTAACTTACGGTTAAATATTACATGTTTTTATATTTAGAGCGACGGTTATGACACGTTGGATACCCGTTGGTTAATGCAAATCGTCGTTAAATCCATCAGTAATTTCATTACTGACATGCGTATTTGCTATGTCAACTTTATCATAGCGAAACCACCGGTAAATATATTAACTACTATTTATACATTAGTATCGACACTAATTGACCGTCAGAAATAAATTAAATTCCTGTAGTGATATAATTTGAAGTAAAATGTTGAAAAATCATATATTTTTTTTTTTATTTTGTCATATTTACAAATTTATAAACTTTATAGTGGCATAATAAAAAATATTAATATTTATCGAAATATTAATTCATCCGCATTAATGTGTTACAAAATAATTGTTCATATAAATATTATTTGATTGATAGCCAATTAATTGCAAATTTCATGTGCATAAATTTATTGATAGGCATCAAGCGAGTTGGAGTAAAATATGAATAAAAGATCGAGGTTTTATGAAGTGCATTGATTAATTTACAAGCCTAATACCAACAAAGTGGTCTTTGGTTGGTGGTCTTCCATATATGATGTATATAAATATATGATTAAATGGCTCGAAAGTTCTTAAGAAAAATTAGCCTTCCACTTAACTATTCTTGCCGGCCCTTATAAAAACGAAGCCGAGCAACCCATTCATTTCGTTCTTACATATAATTATTCATAGAAAAAACGCCAATGATGAGAATAAGGAAGAGGAGGGAGCTACGACATAAAAAACAATGAACACATGCCTGGCAAAAATAATATATTCATGGATTACGAAAAGGTCACGGCTCAAAGAAAAAAAATCCAGCAAAAACATTAAATAGAACGCAGCTCATATTGGACAAGCTCCATCAAGAAAAATATATGCATAGAATCAAAGTGCAACATGCTCAAAATGAGGAGAAAATATTATATATTTTGTTCGGATGTGTGCGCGTCGTCGGCACGTGAACTAATTGTGCATAGTGACATGATCAAATCCGCACCATCTCATTGTCTGAGGATGTTCAAATACAATATTTTCTGAGAACTAGAGATGCAGAAGCCAACAGCTATCATAACACAGCCAAGGAACTAGACAGTAGAACCCAAAAAGCATGTAATTCTCTACCAGCTGAGAAAAGTTGCAAACAATCAAACAGGCTGTACACAGACCGATTTAAAGAGAATCCAGTCCAATCAGACCGACCTAAACCTCTCACACTACTAAGGCTGTCAAAATGGCTCGTTGTTCGCAAACAACACGTGTTCGGCTCGTTAAGAAGCTCGTGTTCGGCTCGTTAATTTCGTTCGATAAGTAAACGAGCCGTACACAGCATGTTTATATATATATATATATATATATATATATATGTATATATATATAAAGTATTATATAAAGTATTATTTAAAAAAAATCAAATTGAATACAAGGCTACAAAGATTTATAATCAATTAAAATATTGATTGAGAAAATAGAATAACAAATATTAAATTAGATTCAAATGATGCTTTAATATAAATAATAATTTTTAAATTATCCTCAAACCCTTATTGTCTTATGACTACATGATTAGGATTGTTAAAAAGACTCTTTGTTTGTGAACAGTTCGTGTTCGGCTCCCTAAAAACACGAACACACTTTTTGAGCTCGAAATATAAACGAGCCGAAAACGCTCGTGTTCGGCTCATTTACACCCCTACACACTACGCGGTTTGGAAGAACCGCACCCCTGCCCGAATAACCCATGCTAACCCAAAAATGTTTCTGCCTGCCGGCTTAGTATATATATGATAAAGGCTACAGCCGCCTGCAGCTTTCACTTTGTCTTCTTCATAAGCATAATTAATGCAAACCAATTTTCTTGTCCAGCTTGGAGGATTCATCCCTCCCCCAACATGCCGAAAATTGACATCGATGCCCTGTCAGAGAAAGAAGCTCGTGGTGGCAGCGATAAGAGATCCGGCAAGCCGGAAATTCGCTGATTTTAGAGCCCAAGAAACAAAAACAAAGCCAGCGATAGTGCAGAATACTGTGTGCGATGAAACAAAATCAGAGCCGGAGATGGTGGAGAAAACAGTGTACAATGATAACTGGTTTGCACGCCTTGCCATCCGCCATCTCTCAGGCAGCATTGAAGCCATCACTGGTACGAATATATACACATATATTGGAGATATGTTAATATTTATTATTTGGTGTTCTATTTGTATTTATCAATCTATTTTGTTTGTTGGAAAACTTGTTTAGGCATTGATGAAACAATTGAGTGCTATTGCAGGGGTGAAGACAAAGGAGAAAGGCTACGATGGGCTCGTCGAGGCTGCCAGCATCGTTGCGAGGAGGAAAGACGGGGAAGAGCAACAAGAGATGGTAGAGGAAACTCTCAAGAAGGCTTTTCCGGCAGCCGTAATGAACATGGCAAGTTATTATCTCTCTTTTCCTAGAATATTAGATTTACTTTTGATTCAAATGGGTTTAAAATATTAATATGATATTTTTTATTAAGTATAAACATATGGAAAAATAAATTACACTTATAAAATATGAAATCATATTGCTTGAATACATCGCAGAGTGGATTAATAGAAAAATATAAAAAGAAAAAGGCCTCTAACTCCTTAAAATGCAGTTAATGGCAGCAATTTTTAGAATTCAAGCCAAGCAAGTTAAAGATAAGAGTTATAACAAATAAATTATGTACGTTATACATTTCATTTATATATAATATAACATATGGCATTTCTATAGAACAAAACATGCATATTTGGCCGCCGGCGTTAAATAAAAACAATTTGAGTCCTGAAGTGTTTGATTTACTTCAAGATAAATATAAAAAAAAAATTTTAATTGATTACTAGTATATATTAAATATATGTACGAAAATCAATCTTATTTGAAACTTTTCTAAACAATTATTTTAGCAATACTTCATTATATAAATGCTACCTAAGTCACATTTATAAAATTATTACCATCTAAGGAATAGATTAATAAAACCATATATTTTTGTCTACCATGATTAAATCAATGAAACTTGAGATCTATAAGAGTTAAAAGTATTATTTTGAATTTCTTTGTTTATACGATGAGGGGTAAATTTTGTGAAATTTAGATAAATCATTTTACTATTTAATTAAGGATTTAAGAGTTTAAATGGTTGTGATAATTTATTGTATTAAATTAGTCTTTAATAATAATAATTAAATTGATTGAAGCATAATTATTAGTTACTAATTTATTAAAGTAATAAAATAATTATTTTTTAGTAAATTTAATTATATTAATATAATCTTATTTTACTAATATTAATCATAAATAGTGATTTAGTTTTTATCAATTCTAATCACACTGCTTTAATTATAATTAGTATACCATAACATTTAATAAATCATTAATTAAAATTTTATAATTATAACTAAGCATTAGAAGTATTATTAATCCCATTAAATCATAAATAATATTAATTTAATTAACTTAATATATTTTCAAATAATTAATACTAATTAATTAAGTATTTCAAAATTTTAAATTATAAATTTACCATAAAACACAAAAAAAAGGGTAACTATCCATCTAAAGCAAAATTTTGATATGTAGATTCTAACCCCTTTTTTTTTTCAATCCAATATGCATTCTATTGAATACATATATTGCTATGTTTAATTGACTTAATCCATACATGCGCATTGACGTACATACCACTCAATTCTTTTGTATTTACATATCAAGACCAAAATCTTTCATTATCGCACCAAAAATATCAAAAATTTGACTTTTAAAAGTGAAATACACCTTTCGATGCATAGGTAAGATGGCAAGCATGTAAAAATTGGAAGTATGGGTGTTAGATACGTAAATACATAGAAATTGAATGGTATGTATGCAGATCTTCCTTGATTTTATTAGATTCCGATGGAATTAATCTATTTCTGTTGCAGTTGAAGACTCTTCTACCGCAATCAAAGTTCTCAAGAAAATTTTTCGCAATCTTCACAACAATATTTTTCTCCTGGCTAGTGGGACCCTGCGAGGTAATCCGAATATGCATCGATGCAAGCTTATTTGATAGTACGCATAAAAAAATATTTGTCAAACCTATATTTGAATTTCATCTCTATCAAATATGTATCTTAAGTCAGAATGCAGGCCATCTTAGCCTCTTGGTTGATAGCTCAATCTTTAAATATGAGGTTTTGAATTAAAGACTTGTGTATTTGATGTACATACATTTGTGATTAACTTGCTAAAAGGAAGGGCTGTGAATTTAGCTCGATCGGCTCGAAATAAACTAGCCGACTTTTGAGCCGGAACTTTAGATTGAGTTTTGTTTAGCCAATTTGGAGCCATACATGGATCGACACAATTTAAATCGAAATCAGCTCGTAGCATCTTTTATTTATTTATAAAATTATAATCATAACATTATGCAATAAAATAACATGCATTTGAGGGCTTGGAACTAACTGAAATTTTTTGAAAATGTTACTGAATAAGGTCAGGGAGTCCGATTTCCGAGGGAAACGGGAGAAGAATGTGGTCTACATCCCCAAATGCAGGTGCCATCAATTTTCTGATATCATGAACTTCATATTCTAACATTTAAAATCAGCCAATATCAATTTCTTAGTTTTCCATTTCATATTTTCAAAAGCCATCCAAAAGTTCATTAACTATTTCGAACTTTATTAACAATTTGGAGCATCAAATCCCCATTACACCATGGTTGTATAGTTGTTTCCCTCACTGTGCCAAAAATGATCAGGTTTTGAGACGAAAGCAATCCTCACTTTAATACTATAATCAACAGGTTTCTGGAGGCCACTAATTGTGTGGGAATGTGCACTAATCTCTGCAAATTGCCTTCTCAGAAGTTCATCAATAACTCATTGGGGATGCCCACCAATATGGTTCCCAGTAAGTTCTCAATTTAGCAAAATAAATATGTATAATAGTAGATAGACGTTTACATAATTGTCCTTAATTTACGAATTTATGCAAATTAAGAAACAATTTTTTGCTGAATTAATTTCCTCTGGTGATTTTGTCGAGAAAAAGATTTTTCTTAAGGCTAAAGCAAATTGAATTTATAGCACTTGATGTGTTTTAGTAAGGGCTGGAATGGAACATATTGCTTACTGAGATCATTTACATGCTTTAACATCAGATTTTGAAGACCAGAGCTGTGAGATTATCTTTGGGCAGCATCCACTTGCGGATGATCCAGCACTAAAGCAACCCTGTTATCGGACTTCATGTAATCATTATACCAGATAAATTACATAAGTACTACAAATTAATTTAATTAGAATTTAACAAAAACAATAAAAAATTTTAACATACCATACATGTTTTATTCAAAACAAAATGTAAATAAATAAAAATAAAGGATAATCGTTAATTTTTTTTTGGAGATTTTCACATGATCCACATGAGAAATATTTAGGTACGGAAGTATCAGCAAAATTGGGTGCGGAAGAAGGTTATTCAAAGGGTACTGGGGGGTTATATCCGTGTCATTGGGGGTATAATCTCACTATAACCCTCCAATAACCTACAAATAAGTTTTACGGTTCTGTTTTCATATATTTGCAGGTTACTTTATATATTTGTAGATTACTTGAAGGTTATTATGAGGTTTTAGTGAGATTATACCCCCAATAATACGGATATAACCCGTAGTACCCTTTGAATAACCTACTTTATGGACCCAATTCTGCGTGCGTCTTCCGTACCAAAATATTTCTCGATCCTCGTAAGCTCTTCTTTATATATTTCGCCATTTCATAACCCCCCTAATATTTTTGCAGGCATAGCAAAGCGAAAACATGGAGTTGGCTGTTCAAGCTGATGTCATCTTTACGGCGCCATGTGTCATTCGTCACAAATTTAATAAAGTGTCTCTTATGGAGTTCAGAAGAATATGTAATCCATACTCCTGTTTAAGTGGACATTTAGAAAGATAAGAAGTCATCTTCATGATTCAAAAACTTGGAAATCAAAGAATTACATTAGACTTCGTTGTAAATTGGCAGTCCATGATGTCTAAAGAAGATGATGAATGAAATAAGGTTTAAGTTTACTATAAGAAAGGCATGATTGTAATATAGAATAACCATTAAGCATTAGGTGCCCAAGTTACAAATTGAGACAAAGCTCTTGATTGTTTTTGCAAACATTATTAGATTGCTAGCGTAAGGCTTGCTTCTTTTATTGTAATCTCTATATGCATAGTGAAACTCAAAGTTCTACCTACTTTTATGCCCATCGTTTTTTTTGGAAGTTTTAGTGTACGTTTATTCATCACAATCCTTTATATTAAAAGCAAAAAAATCGACGTGTGACAATTGTGAGAAAAATTAGCAATAGTCACATTTCAACAAAAAGTGTGACCAAAAGGTCAAAAGTGTGGCTAAAATGCGTTGTTTTACTTACAACTGCTAAATTTTGATGATCTAGGTCTGGGGCTTGGAGTTAAGTAGGACGGTCTATTTTCAAATCTATCATTAATAATTTACCATTCAAATAAAATGGAAAAAACCAATAAAAAAATAATTTATTAACAAATAAAAGTTTATATTTCAAGATGTCGATCTCGTCTTTTATAAACATTATGTCTTCTAGTATTCTAATTATTCAAAAGCTTAAACCTAAAAAGTATCAAAACAACATAATGAATTATTCTAGATAAACCAATGTAGTAATCACATTTCTAAACTTCAATAATTCAAGAAAAAAAAAGACCATATGCATGTTCATCTGTCATATTTCATTATAAAAAATCATATAATAAATTAACACATATATTATTGACATTTGCTCGATGGAAATAATCTAAAATTTTATATGCATCTTTTACTTTTTAGAGTTCAATGTTAACTTTTCTTTTACTTCATGCTCTTGAATTTCACATCTGTCTCAACAACATCGAGAAACATAACATATCACACCGCTGACCGATATTATCTCGTCGGCTATGCAGTTTGTGATCCTAATTACATCATTGCCTAAGGTGGAAAAGTGCCTACGCACACTTGACCGATTCTCTTAATTAGGCACAGTGGTTAGTGATCTAAATTTCATATTTATCTTTAGAGTAGAGTAGCCATTCAATCTTGGCCGACACTCTCCCATCTGCACAACTGTTAGCGAAGTTTCACAATCGTCTGATATGATAGAAAAAAGATCTAAACGCTCAGGGACCTTGGCATTCCCAACTACTACTATAAGGAGGTGAATTCCTCCTCTCAACATGTACATACAAACATTCATATATACAGTATTTTCATTCTCGATAACTTGCATTATTTTCTTATTTGACACTCTGCATTCATCTATTAATGAATAAATGCACATTTAGTAGAACTAAAAATACATGCAATAATCTAATAATTTCATAGGTAAATCATTATGCAACAGTTTATGCAGAACTGTTAACATGCAAACTTCTGAAATTCATGTAACAATATGAGTTATGTATCTCTACTATAATCTAAATGTCAAGCAATAATTTAATGTCTTTCTAAGAAAACTAACATGTAGTATTTATGTAACCAAGTTAACATGTATTTATCTTACAGAACAATATGAAAAATTGGCTGCAGTCCAAATTTCTCTGTATAACTCACAGGTGTAAGAAACTGAAGACATGAACATTCAAATGCAAAAAAAAGTTATTGGAAATTAGAAACATCATTACTCTTCTCAAATTATAAATAAATATTATCAATCCTTTTTCTTGTCTCCTCAAAACTCAATCCTACATATCAAACACAAGTAGAATCATAACAAAAATAAATTTATATATAATTTATAATTATTTGTTTTAATAACAAGGTATTATAATTAATAAAAATAATAGCACATTACCGTATTATTTTATTCAATAAATACGAAATTTAGATCATATATTTAATTTTAACTCGATTAGTTCTCATCAATTACAATCACTGTAACTCAAAATAAAAATTCTATAACTTATTTCTTATGTTATAAAATAATGGTTCTATAAATATACATTTGAGTAAAATAATTCAATAGACAAATATTTATTATAATTAAATAAATTTTTAATTTGATGATAGACTTTTAGAAAGTAATAATTTTATACAGTTCATAAAAAATCATTAAGTAAAGTTTGGTATTCGTTCTTATGAAAATCTTGCATTACAAAGTTTGCATGGTAAAATACTTCTTATATAAAAGAATAACTTATAAACTTAATTCATCAAGGTTCCATTTGTATAGCTTTTGACATTTTCTCAATTAATTTTCAATAAATCTAATTATCTTAGGTAGAAATAATAAACAATCACCTGGAACTCTCCTCGTTCGAGTCCAAAATCTGAAAATCCTTCCATTTCAGCTTCCTGATGATAATCAATAAAATCTCAAATTATGCTAAAGTAAAATTCAATCATATAAATTAAAATCTAAAACAATAAATAAATAAACCCTGCAAACCTTGCTCAGCTCGGTCTATACAACCGCACCAGCCGCCGCCTTCATATATCCTCTTCTTCCTTTTTGAACTCACACAAGGCTCACCCGCCTTTCTTCTCTTCATTTCCTCGTGCAAAGGATCTCACAAGCGCATCTTCATTAAATGCATGCCTAGTGACCTTGCATCAAAAGTTCGCTTATTAAAAAAAAATTATTGGGCTTGCCATTAGAGGACCAAATTTATTTTGAATTAACGTCGATTGAGTTTTGGTGACCAATCAAACTAAAGGTGGTTTTATCGATCTGGACATGGTGGCCGATCGAATAGGCTTGATTTGGTTTTATCGATTGGGACTTCGTGGCTGATCAAACCACAGTGATTGGTTTTACGAATCGGGTCTTCGTAGTTGATCAAACCAAAGTAACTGATTTTACCGATCAGGCCTTCGTCGCTCATCAAACCAAACAGTAGTTTTACCAATCGGGTCTTTGTGGCCGATCAAACAGAATTGTTGGTGGCCGATTGAACCGAAATATGGTTTCGTAGTTGGCCATGGTGGCCGATGGAACCAAGGTGGGTGCATATGCAAATTGTCATGTAAGACATGCAAGCAAATGAAACCAAATGCATTTCGATAGCAAATTTGATTCGTCCAAACGTCCTCACATAGGATCCTAGGCTTTTAGCTCTTGAATACGCGACACGGCCCCCTCCGGATTCGGCAAGGAACACAGAGAACTTCTTCCTCTGATTTCTCGTAGGAAAAGTCCTTCACCGTTTGTAAGACGGACTAGCTACAATTTTTTTTTTGTCAACTATTCCAACCCTTCTTAGGAAGGTTGGAAGAGCTAAAGCCGTGGGAAATTGGAATTTCGGCCCACTAGGATTTAAATCTAGGGTTTACAAGAAAACACTATTGGCTTCGTTAGGGATTTGGCCATGAAGGTAAGGTTCTAGCCTAGAGCTTTCTCTAAGACATAATTGTTCAATCAAGTAGCGTACGACTGTGCCGACTAATGTCGGCCAGCCAACTTGCCTAATGATGGCGACCAAACCCGAGATGACAACACAAAGCTAGCCAATCGAAAGGCTTATGACGGGGCCCCAAACCCAACAATGGGCGATCGATTGAGTCGGACAATACTAGGTGACTGGTTAAACTAGCTTTATATGGGCCCCAAACTCACAACAACCTAAACGACAACACAAAGCTAGCCAATCGAAAGGCTTATGACGGGCCCCCAAACCCAACAATGGGCGATCGATTGAGCCGGACAATACCAGGTGACCGGTTAAACCAGCTTTACGTGGGCCCCAAACCCACAACAACCTAGCAAAATCTATTCTTAGGGCTGACGAAAAAAGAGAATGCAAGGATTTATGGAGTCTCACCAATGTGATGTTTATAGTGGCGTTCTCTTTGACTATCCAAGCAATTGGTGTCCAAACCACACTCCAACTTACCTCAAAAACATGTGCAGGACGAGGAAAGAAACAAGTGAGGGCAAGAGATATGCGAGTATCTTTGATAAATGATTTGAAAATACACAGGTATGTCTGACACAAACCATTGCGAAGGAGTCATTTGTGGCTCTATGCGCCGCAACGCCGTCACAATCCCATCACTAGTCAGAGCTCCGACATACCTTTGCTTTGACCGTAAAACCCTCTCTTTTTTCGTCTTTTCATTTTCACTTTTTTTTTAACATTTAATTATTATATTTAGATGTATCAATTTACAACTCATCCGCCCTTACAAAGAATTAAATCATAGCAATATAAATATCTTCTCTAGTTAAAATCGCACGATTCATTTTGTGATCCGAGTTAATCTAGACAAATTTGCCCATAATTGAGCACGATTTTGGCGCGACGTTGTTTTGTCTACGTTTTGAGCCACGAAGACATATGCATCCGTCTTTAAACATTAAAAACATGCATCAGATATGAATGATTTAAGAAATTAATGTCAATACATACATAAGAATTGGGTGATAAGCCTTTAAATGCCCCCCTTATTAAGCCCCGTAAATGTAGTCGATAAGAAATTTAATTGTAAAAATTCTGAAATTTACAGAATTTATTTTGAGGACTGAAACATTTCTTGTTCCAGTCTACGGAGTGAAAGGCTAAATACAGTCACATCCTTGCCGGCATGATGCAATTGAGCTGTAAAACTGATCGAGCCATAGTCGCACTGAATGCTTGCAGAAAACTGTGTTCATTGGATGCAAGCTGGTGTTTTCAGAACTTTTCCTCAAGTTTCTGAATGACTAGTGAAGTGTGAAAAATATAAAGTGGTAGTTACTCATTTAGTCAGAAAATAAAAATAGTGAGACGGTAGCAATACTAATAAATAATGCGGAATTTTTAAAAAAATCCCGAAACTTTAGAATTTGATTGAGTTATAAAATCATTTTAATTGAATTTGAAGTTGG